GGAGAGCTGAGTCGTGAGGCTGGGCCTCCCCACGGGTCCCGGGCCTGGCGCAGGGTGGCTTGAGAACGGCACTGCACGGGCCTTTCCTGGAGGCCGCAGCGCCGGAGAGGCTCGGGCCTGGGAGGGCGGGTCTCCGACAAGTGGGAAGAGGCGGAAATTCACGGGCAGAGTCTCAGGGGGGCGTCCTGGGCCAGCCCGATGGCGTGCCAGTCCCCGGGGTCCACTTGGCCTTTTGCTGATGGTCATCATTTTTAGAGACAGGGTCTCAGCCTCTCACCCAGGCTAGAGTGCAGTGGCACAGTCACAGTTCACTGCAGCCTTGAATTCCTGGGCTCACACAGTCCTCCTGCCCGGGCCTCCCAAAGCCCTGGGATTAGAGGCACACACCACCACGCCCAGCCTATCTTCTTATCCTGAAATAGCGCCAAACTCAGAAGTTGAGGTCACGGACGGCTCCACCTCCCCCGGGCCGTGGGTCAGAGGTCCCGGCAGGGGGGTGGCTTGCCCAGAGTCCTGGGAGGGGGTGACCTCACGTTGGGGCAGCAGCGTGTCCGGTGGCCGGGGCAGCGGAGATGGTCGGACCGGCATTGGTGGAGAGAAGGGGGGACACTCGACCAGAACTACCTAAGTGTGGCCCCTCCTCATGGCTCTGGGTGCGAGGCAGCTCCTGAGAGCGGCCGGCCGTGGTGAGCAGACCCTCGTGCAGCCTGGGCTCCCTTGAGAGAGGCAGAACCACCTGCCATCAGGATGCAGCATGGCGGGTGGGCAGGATTTCCACGGCTCACCACAGCACGTGGCAGCATCAGAGATCGTGGCGATGGATGGGAAGTGTCAAGTCTCACCCGAAACTGATGAGACAGTGTGGGGTTTTCTTTCTTTTTTTTGAGTCAGAGTCTCACCTTGTCACCCTCACGGCAATCCCAGGGCCGACCTGGGCTCCGGCAATCCTGCCTCAGCCTTCCAAGGAGCTGGAACTACAGGCACGTGCTACCAGGCCCGGCTAATTTTTGACTTATTGTGGAGACGAGGTCTTGCCAAGCTGCCTGGGCTGGTCTTGAACTGACGGGCTCAGGCAATCCACTCACCTCGGCCTCCCAAAGTGCTGGGGTCACAGGCTGAGCCACCGCGCCCAACCTTTTCTTCTTTTTGAGTCGGGGTCTCACTCCCAGGCTGGAGTGCGGTGGCACAATCATGGCCACCGCAGCCTCGACCTCCTGGCTTCAGGCGATCCTCCCGCCTCAGCCTCTGGAGTAGCTGGCACTGCGGGCACGTGTCACCATACCTAGCTAAATTTTGAGTTTTTTGTAAGGCTAAGATCTCGCCATGTTTCCCAGGCTGTCCTGAATTCATGGGCTCAGTGATGCTCCCTCCTCAGCTTCAAGTTTCTGGGATTACAGGCATCAGCCACATGGCAATTCCTGTGATTTTTTCTTTTTTTTTTTTTTTGGAGCTCTCTCACCCAGGCTGGAGCGGTGTGATCACAGCTTACAGCAGCCTTGAACTCCTGGCCTCAAGCCTTCCTTTCTTCTTGGCCTCCCAAGTAGTTGGGACGACAGGCGTGAGCCACTGTACCTGGCATCTTTTTTCTTGACTGTAATTTTTGTTTGTTAATGACACTGATTTTTTTTTTTTTGAGTCGGAGTCTCACTCTGTCGCCCGGGTTGAAGACGGCCACCGCAGCCTCGACCTGCTGGGCTCAGGCGATCCTTCCTCCTCAGCCTTCCGAGTAGCTGGAACTGCAGGCGTATGCCACCACACCAAGCTAATTTTTTTGATTCATTGTAGAGACGAGGTTTCTCCAAGTCGCCCAGGCTGGTCTCAAACCCCTGGGCTCAGGCAGTCCTCACCTCAGCCTCCCAAAGTGCTGGGATGACAGGCTTGAGCCACGCGCCCAGCCAATGACTTTCTTTCCCCTGACGCGATCCATCTAAGTGGTTTCTCGCCACCAAGCCCTAGGCACGTGGGTGTAGACGGGCTGCCTCTGTGAGTGGAGGTGTCGGACGATGCGGGGCAGGCAGAGAAACCAGCTCAAGCAAACTCTTGGGTCCGTTCGCCGCGTCAGGACTCCCCAGGGCAGACTCGGGCCGCCCCACGAACAGCCGCTGGCTCCACCTGGGCCCTGCTCTGCCTGCCCCAGCCCCCAGGATCACCTGCCCAGACGTGACCACGTGGTGGCCCAGAAGCCCCCTGGCCCGTCCCAGCCATGTGCCCGGGCTGATGCTGGACCCCAGCCTGACACCCCGGGGGGCGGGCATGGTGGCGCCAGCTCGTCCTGCCAGTGACCGAGGCAGGCCCTGCGCATGTCCAGGAGGGGCCTGTGAGTAGATGGGCCCAGGCAGGGTCTGGGGTCTTCGGTCTCATTGCCTCAGCCCTGCGGGCTGGTGCGTTCCAACGTCTTTGCTTGAGTCTGCGAATACCGACGACCCCAGATCTCAGAGCATGTCCTGTCTAGGCCACGTGGCTGCACCATGGCACTCAGGGCCCCCGAGTCGCACATGTCTGGCGTCTGGGCCCAGCTGCTCTGCCACCATCTCCGTCTGTGGAGCACGACCACGAGTGGCAGAGGCCACCAGGTGTGCAGGTTCTGCCCACTGCAAGCGTTCCCCAGGGCCCACGGCTTCCTCGCAGCCCGGTGGCGTCGTGGGTGGGCGGGCGGCCCTGGTCGTGGGATCTCGACCCCCATGCCTGCGCTGGGCGGCTCCCTGCTGCCGTCGGGCCTCGGGGACCTGTGGCTGACTGGTTAGCTCCTGGACCACGTGTCGCCAGCCTGGCTTCCTGACTGGCTCTGCCGGAAAACAGTCTCTTGTGTCTTGAAGGGTGCCTGTGGCTGTCGATGGCTGTCATTGGTACCATTTTTACATCTAGGCCAAGACAGTGCTCACACCTGTCATTCCAGAGCTTCGGGAGGTCGAGTTGGGAGGATCGCTTGAGCCCAGAAGTTCAAGACCAGCCTGGGCAACATGGCCAGACCTCGTCCTTTCAACAACAAAAAAATTTTTTTGTCAGTTTCACTCTGTCACCCAGGCGGGAGGGCAGTGACACGCTCACAGCCATCGCTGCCCCAACCTGCTGGGCTCAAGTGATCCTTGGATGAAGGGGTTTGATCCTTCAAGTGATGCCTTCCGAGTAGCTGGAACCACAGGCACGCCACCACGTCAGGCTGATCTTTTAATTTATGTAGAGACAAGGTCTTACCAAGTTGCCCACACTGGTCTCGAACCCCTGGACTCAGGCAATCCTCTTGCCTCCACCTCCCAAAGTGCTGGGATGACAGGCGTGAGCCACTGCGGCTGGCTTACCACAAAATTTTTGAATCAGCCTGGCATGATGGGGCAGCTACTTGGGAGGCTGAGATTGAGCCCAGGAGTTTGAGTCCAGCCTGGGCAACAAAGCGAGACGCCATCTCTACAAAAAATAAACATGAGCTGGGCTTGGTGGCTCCCAAATTCCAGCACTTTGGGAGGCCGAGGCGAGTGGATTGCCTGAGGCCACAGGTTCGAGACCAGCCTGGGCAGCTTGGCGAGGCCTCATCCCAAAAATAAACAAAAAACTAAGCTGGGCTACTGGGAAGGCTGGGGTGGAACGATCACCGGATCCCAGCAGGCCGACGTAGGGGTGGCCATGAGTGTGACATGGCACTCCAGCCTGGAGACTCCAGTTCAAAAAAAATATGTATTTTTAATGGAATAAGCGGACACCTAAAGGAAAGGCGCGGCCTGCCCTTCACTCAGCGGAGCCGCTGACGCCACTGGGCAGCAGGGCGCCGTCCTCCATCCGGGCAGCCATGGGATGACGCCATCCGGGGACGCCTGTGGGACCCCTCGGACGGGGCCGCTCCTCCCTCACGGCACACAGGCCTGCCCGTCCGTCCACCAGTCTGTGCTTTGGTTGGGCTTGTTTTTAAACGAATTCCACTTCCATTGCAGAAAATATTTTCAGAACCTGGAAGCTTGTCCACAACCACAGTCACCAAGCTCCGTGAGAGCTGCCGGGCCCGGCTGCTGGCACAGGGGTGACCGTCTTCTCCCCGTCCCTGGGGCATCCCTTCCACACCCCTCCACTCTGGGGACCATCTCCTGAGTCGACATTGGACCAACTTGTGCTGCTTTCTTCACGATCCTGTAAATACCCGTTCCCACCCCGTAATCATGAAGTTTTTAAAAGTCATTTCAAATCGTGTCATTCTCCTGCCTTTCCAATGAGCTGTGAAGTCGCAGGTTTAAGGAGAACTTGTCTTTACCCGAGACACCAGTGATCTCCAAGACGTGAGGCATGTGTGTTTGCATCTAATAAAGTGTGTCACCTTGTGAGCCTGTTGTCATCAGCTCTGCCACCGCCTGGGAGCTAGGCAGCGAACTGTCCCCATCACATGTCAACAGCCAGAGACGTCCCTCCAGCCCTTTCCAGGCAGAGCATTTCCCTACGGGGGCTGTGTGCATGTAGCAAGGGGCTTCTCCTTAGGAGGGTCATTTTGGAGAACGGCCCTTAAAGCTATCGTGTTACATGAAGGACACACAAGACAAACACCTAAGTTGTGGGTAGGGGGGCGTCTGAACGAGGCCCTGAGTGCCCGGGGCCAGTCATGTTATCCTGGGCCAGGAGGGCAAGGACGCTTGGCCCCACTGGGACAGGACGTCCTCCCAGGGCTCCAGGCCCTGCTGTGGGGGGCCAGGGGGAGAGAGATGCCCTAGGCTGGGCAGAGCCTTAGCGGGTGGGCGGAGCAAGTGGGCGCAGGGTCAGTGGACACAAGCCCGCCCCCACCCAGCAGTGCTGCCCATAACCTCCCACTGCCCCACGCCAGCCCTCCTCGCAGCCGGCGACCGGTCTCTGCCCCTCCCTCCTCCTGCATTCCGTGGGCGCCCATAGGAGACGGCACCCTGGGGGCTGGCCTTCATGAGAGGTGGGCACTCCCGGGAGGCCATCCTGGGAGAACACGAGCCCCAGGGACAGACGGCGAAGAGTGCTGCCGCCTGGGCCCTGGTCACCAGCATGAGGCAGACAGGCCATCACCAAGGGCCAGGCCATGGCAGAGGCTGGGTCAGGACCCCGGTACCATGTGACATCCCCACGCATGCCTGGTGGCTGCCTGCAGGACAGCACTGCCTACGACTGCGCCCCGCAAGGCTCTAAGGACCCCTGCGCTGGCAGGAGCTCCCGGA